GAGACTTTCAGGTGGCAAAGTCTCTGCATTTGAAGTTTTGTTGTTGGGTTGTTTTCGTTTTTTTTTTTTTTTTTTTTTTTTTGCCTTTGTTTTTCTTTCTTCCCTTAACTAACCACCAGCTCTACCCAGGTTTGTGGCCACTGTGGCCCTGCCCAGTCCTGCCCCACGATGTGCCCGTTCTTACCAGCCTCCGCTTGGGCTTGATGAGAGGCCGGTTCTGTCCATTCATCTTGTGGTAGAGCCCGCATGCATTGCACAGGTAGTGGCCCGTGCCATCCCGTCGCCAGAGAGGGGTGGCTGTGGCCCCACAGTTGACGCACTCCCGGCCTTCTGTGAGGGAACAAGGAAAGACACAAGGCTTAGCGGCTGCACAGAGAGCCAGAGGATCAAGTCTGACACATGGTTAAAACAAGGGAGACTTTAGTTCCGCCCTGCAGACAGAGGAGACTCAGGGGGGTCCCCATACAAGAGGTCCTGAGTCTCTTAAGGACAATCCCCCACTTCAGATGCTGCTGAGGAAAAAGAAAGAGAAGCACTAATACAGGGTGCCAGGGATTCTCAGAGCCGCTAGCAAGATACCCGGAAAAGGAACTAAAGGCCAGCTTTGTGGAGCACAGGCTATAAGGCTACAGCCACAGTTGCCCAGCCTGGCCTCTTCTATTTCCTCTCACTTTTGCCTCCCCAACTGCGCCAGCCTCGCCAGGTCTGTTCCTCATCTCTGCTATCCGACCCTTTCTGTCTTTATGTCTGGTCCAGGGTCAGGAAGGAAACTTCTCTTCCCCCCAGCTTTGCTCCTTTTTCGACCAAACCCCTAGAATCCAATGATCAAAGAAAGATGCTGTTTCTTAAAAATGAAATGTCAAGTTCTTTCACTTTGGGTTAGAGGCCTTATTTTCTGTTGTTGTTTTTTGTTAGCTGGAATTCAAATAAAACAAAAACAAAAAAGGGCTACAAAGCAAAGACTCAAAGAGTCTTAGGAGAGCAGGAACTGCAGGGAAGTTGGGGTTCAGTGGGGTGAACGCTTAGTAACTTGGTAACTTGGTACCCAGGACATTCTTCCTGCTTTAGTTGAAACTAAGTTCCTAGGAACTCAAGCAAGAGAAAGGGGTTTCTGAACTCAGGGGTAAACCTTGAAGAAAACTTTCCCCCACCCTTGCTAAAAACGAGGGAAGGAGCCTCAGAGCCAAGGGTTACTGCCTGAGGGCCACACTGCTAGACAAACCCAGCTGGATCCAGCTATTGCTGGCAAAGAGGTGCGGGCACCCGCAGAGGTTCTCACTCCTACCCTCAGGGAGAAGGATCAGGGTCACTAGGACACAAACAGGCCTTGGGAATTTTGCTTTGGGGAAATCTCCAAGGAGATCTGGAGTCACCGCAATCCTAAAACTAGACCAGCGGCATTGGAGAACCAGATTCCTTCAGGGCCTGGACCTCTGCAGTGCCCGCAGCGTGCGCACACGCTCACAGACACACGTACACACATGTACACACTGACTCCTTCCTTCATCTACACCCTGCATTCTCCCCCACACCCAGTCATGAGGCTGCTGTTTCAGCTGAACGGTGGGAAGGGAAGAGACAGGGAATCATATTCCGAGAGTCGGATGACACCCACCTTGGAAAGGAGGGCAAAGGTGAGGAAAGGAACTGAACATTGTGGACACCGGGGAGCACTCGAGGGCAGAATGAAAGTTTTAGGGTTTCCTTGCTCCCCACTGGGAGCCCCTAACACCTGTGGACTATCAGAGAGGCTTGCCAACCACCCACTCTAGGCTCAGGAGCACTAATGTGGCCCCCCTTCAGATCACAATCCCTTTTACAGAGGCACACCCCAGCCACAGATCCTGACGTCCCACACCTGCCTTTACCTGAGCAGGAGCGCGCCTTGCTTCGCTGCTTAGGGGTGAAGCTGGAGGCGGGGCCACCCAGGAAGCCTCCCGGATGGAAAAGCCCGCTGCTATAGTCGTGAGCTGAGGCAGGCACATAGGAGGGATAGGTAGGGATTGGGTGGTGTGTTGCAGGCTGTGTGCCCATGGTAGCTAGGCCTGGGCGCAGGGGACTGCCGCCTTCCATCTTCATGTTCTCAGACAGTGACACTTGGTACTTGACACCGTCCTTGTCCTCACCCCGGGCTACACTACCCCCTGCAGAAGACGAGGCTGGGGAAGCGGCTCCCGTGGTGCTGGGGTCTGGAGACACTTCTTTGGGTGGTGTAGGTGGGAAGCCGAAGAGATGAGAGCCAGAGTGGGCTGCCGTGGGGGTGAGGGAGGCCACTGAGCTCCCACTGCCTCCCCCGCTCCCACCCGCTGCCCCGGGGTACACAGACAGAGGCCCTCCGGGTGCTCCAGCAGCTGAGGGGTGCAGCGGGGTCTTGGAAAACGGGCTGACGGTCCAGGGGCTGTGGTGATGGGCAGCGGCGGCCGAGAGAGCAGCTTTGCCCCCATCCAGCCATGGCAAGCCTGGGCTGTGCAACAAGTGTGGCCGGCACATCTGGCCTCCGGTGAGACGGGCTGCAGCAGAGGGAGAAGGGGTCAGTGTGGGCAGGGGCCTCAGAACCGTGTCACGGGCATACAGGATCACAACTCAGGGAACAACCATTAGCAACCCACCCTCTAAAACACAAGAAACATAACACTCCAGCCTGTAACCATCAGCAATATCAGCGAAAGGCCGAAGGACAAGTGACACAGAGACATCCCCACCGGACGGGGTCCTAAAAGATTCTCCTAAGGCAGTTGGATATGGTCAGAAGCCCTACAGGTCCCAGACCCTCCCCAAGAGGTCACTGCCTCCACCTTCCCCAGACCGATTTCGCAGCTGCTCAGATTCCTGTGGATCCCACATCCGGGAAGCAGCAGCGGGCCGTCCTCCCCTCCAAGGCCTGGCGTGGGCGCCGGGCGTCCAGAAACCCGGAGGGCCGAAGCTCACCGTGCGCGGGGCTGTAGGAAACGCGCGCGCGCGCGTGGGCCGGGTTGGCGTAGTAGGGATTGCCCTGCGAGTCGAGATGGTTGAAGAAGACATCCACCTCATCAGGAGGCAGCAGCTGCGCTGGCTCCATGTAGTTGTGCGCCAGGCCCGGGTGGTGCGAGTCAGGGTGCTGCGCATTCAATACGGCGGGGTGCGCCATCCAGCGAGGCTGCTCCGGCGCCACCTCCATGGTCCGCTACTGCGGCTTGGGATCCAGGCGAAGGCGGGGCGGCCCTGGGTGACATAGGGGATTTGAGGAGTACTGCCGGCCTCTGACACCGCCCCCCCCCCCGCCCCGCTCCCAAAGTCGATGTCTTGAAAGGAAAGGCGTTCCAGTGGAGCTCCTCTGGGGACCAGTCCCGGGTAGGAGGAAAGCGCAAGGTTCAAAACGAAAGGAAGGTGGAGGAAGGGGTTCAGCCTCACACACTCGCGGGGAAACTCGCATTCCCACAGCCACACAGCCATACACACGAGGTCACACACAGGGATGGACCCTGACACCGGCGACCCCAAACAAACGCACGCGGAACTGAAATCGTGTTCTCACACCGAGCCCCTGTCCTCTGGGCACACAAACACACCAACTCCGACTAAAAGTTAGAGACGAGAGCGTGGACATCCACTCTGTGGCACACAGCCCCCCCCCCATTTACATTGTTAATGTATACACAAACTAACCTCGACACCCCTCACCCTAAACATGAACACACACACACACACACACACGCAGTTCCTGGGGCTGAAAGCCGGCACCCAATGTCCTCTCCAGGAGTCAACCAGACCTCTCTACAAGGCATAAGAACGTAATCGCCCACAGGAGATCCTGGCCTGAGATCCACAGAGATCCCTCCAACCTAGGAGTGCCCCACAAGCCCCCGGCTCCACAAACTTACACTCGCAGCGGCGCGGGAAGGGGAGGGCTCAGCAGTAGAGTAAGGGACACCAGAAGAGCCCCTAGAATCGCGGTTCCCGCGACAGCGCGTCCAGAGACTGGCGGGTTCACGGGATAGGGGCGGGGGACAGCGCGCGCCTCGGCCTCCGGCCCGCCCGACTCCGGCCCCTCGGCATCCTCCGGCCGCCCTGGCGCCAGCTGCCGACTCCTGCACAGACATGAAGCGGGGGCCGCGCACGCCTAAGAAGCTGGCGCCAGCCAATCAGCGCCGCGCGCCGCCCAGCCTCCGCCCCCCCATTGGCTGCGCCGGCAGCTTCGGCCGCTGGACTTCAGGACTGACCCGCGAGCCGGCCCCCCTCGGCCGCCTGGCCCCCTCCCAGCGCCCTCCGGGGCGGCCTCTGATGCCAACGTCCCCCCCCAGGAGACCCCTCGCCGCGGGCATCACCCTGCACCCCTCCGGGAGATGCTCGGGTCCTCCAACCTTTGCCCTCCTAGCAACTAACCACCAATGGGGTCCCTGACTTCCAAGAGCCGAGGCACACATCTTCTGGGTGTCTCTGCTAGGACCCCAGCTTTCTATACTCTTGGGCGTAGCCCCACCTCCTTCGCTTCGGACCACGGCCAGCCAGAGACTAGCGGACTCCCCAGACCTCTGCCTGCTTGTGCAATGGGCTGGTAGGATCGACTGGACAGCACGGGTCTAGCACTGTGGACCCCTCTAGGACATCTGAGCTTTGGGCACTAGTACTCTTAAAGCTGTGCTAGACCGATGGTCGCGGTCCGGCCAGCCCGGGAAGAGGGAAGGGCTCCGGGCGTGGTCTTACTTAGCAGACCACCAGGCCGAATTGCCTGGGGCGAGGTCGTGGAGCAGGGGACTGGCGCCAGCGTCGGCTGGAGGGAGACTCCCGGGGCATTAGCCACGTGTATGTTTTTCCTCCTAGGGGTCCCCGAAACGGCCTTGGGGAGAGGGAAGCAATGTTTTGAGCACTTTGTTCCTGAAGTCACCTGAAGTTTTCCCTCTATACCTCCATTCTGGAAAGGCCGTGAGCTCTGAGGCGGGTGTACAAACCCAGATTCTTCTCTGGATATAGACCTGAGACCTAAGCTCCGAAAGAGGCTTGTGAGTCAGACTTTTAGGGGAATCTAGACAGGTGCGAGGGATTGGCCGAGCTCGACGCCCTCCATCTAGCTCCTCTAGCTTTTCAGGGCCCTAGACCGCCAGGGAATAACCCCAGAGGAGTCCTAGGTGGGTCCCGAGCAGGATGAGGGCTGGGGTCCCCGCCGCCCCCAAGGATGGGGGAGGGGCAGCAGGATTGACAGTCCGTAATTGGGTAACTGGAGGCGGCTTCTCCGGCCCGGCGGCCCCGCCACCGCGACGCCGGGCCCCTGACGTCACCCGATTCGCCAGGAAATGAACTTTTTAATAATCCAAGGAGGGAGGAAAGCCCTCGGTCCCCTCGGCTCGGGGGGCGCCCAGCCAGGCTCAGCTCTGCAGGCGCGCCCCCATCACCCCCTCCCAGGTCCTCTGCGGACAGCTCTGTGGGGGCGCGCGCACGGCAGGGCCTCCTCCGGTCTCTGCGGCTGGCATCCGTCTGACTGTCCGAGGCTTTGGAACAGGTAAAGGCCCTGGGTCGGGGTGCAGAACTGCACTGGGCCAGAAACCCTCACCTCATGTGCCCTGGGGGGGTCCCTTCTGTCCACCGTGTTCCCCGTGCTTCGGCGCTTCAGAGGCAGCAAGGGCCCAGGCGGCTGGGAAGTCCGCTCCCAGCCTAGGCGGGAGGTCGTGAGAGGGCTCTGGGGGGCTACAGGGGCGCAAGGCCGGAGTGCCTCGGGGCCGACTGGGCAGGTGGGTGGTCCAGTGCCGCCAAGCTCGGGAAGGCTTTCTTGGTCCCCAGCCCCCGCCCCCCCCCCCGCCTTTAGACCACGGTTCTTCATTAACGCGCAAAGCGAGATAGCCACGGAGTTTCCAGAGTATTCGATGTCCCTGGAACCTAGCAGGAGCGTCTAAAGGCCTCGCAGCCGGGTGATAACCCTACTCTCGGCAACGGTGCCCCATGCGGCCGAATCCCAGGCCTCTGCTCTCCAGATTTCCTGGAGGAGAGCGCCGAACGCAGAGGAAGCTGTTCTGGCGGTGCCCGCGCCTCGGCTGGCAGGGCGGGGGGGGGGAGGGCCTCCCAACACCACCCCTGAAAGCAGGTAATTCCCCTCTTTTCTCCCAAAGTCGCAATTAGATTATCTCCCTGTTTGAACAAGATGGGGGCTGTGGTTTCCACGCCACGTCACGGACAGGGCAGGTCCTGCCTCTTGGAGAGGTGAAAGTGGCGGGTCTCTACTCAAAACGCGAGCCCCAGTGTTGTCCACCAGACATACACAGAACGGAGTGCGGAAGGGGGATTTAATTACTCTGCTCGGCAGCTCAGAAAATCGCCACGCAACAAGGGCTTAGCCGGGCGGTTAAGCGACGCTTGAGCCAGGGCCTCAGGAGACCCGCAACAGCCTGCCTGCCCACAGACTGGGCATGGGTTTTTTTATGGGGGGGGGGGGGGTGGGGGTCCTGCCAGGTCCTTTGAGGCCCCGGAGATGCCCTCTGGAAACTGCCAGCAACCAGCCGGCTGGCCCGAGCCCCTGCCGAGGTTGGAGCCCCCTGCGTCCCATGCGGGACTGCTGAGTTTTCCACTGGAACGAACCCGTCTGAAAGGGAAAATTGCCGGCTAGGGAGCAGCACACTGAATTGGCGAATAAAGGGGAGCCTGCGCTGATGAACGTGTGTGAACCAGATCGATCCACAGCCAAGACCTCACTACTAGGCCGAAAATGAACGGCTAATAAAACCCAAACAAGCACCAGCGAGGACCGAGACAGATTCCAAGGATAGCTTAGAGTTGGCTTCCTCCAACCCCCGCCGCCCCCCAAAAACGAAAGCAGATTTATTCCAATTCACAGCCCCATACTATGTAAGCGCCCCAGAATACCTTCAAGCGGACACTTGTCTCATTTTTTTCTTATTTTGTTATTATTTATTTTGGAACACACCTGGCGTTGCTCTTTTCTGAACTAAACAGTACTTTTCCTTCCTCGGAAACAAGATTTCTAGGAGAATAGGGAGAACTTGGCTCTTAAACTGAGTTTTCTAACCACCATTAACCCCCCCTGCGTGCCCTGGAAGCTTCTGTGGAGAGGGGACAGTGCAGGGGGATGCTTCTGACTGGGAGCTGGGTTCTGTGGACCCAGGCCTATTCTGGGTGTGGCCCGGCTCCTGCAAATTAGTCTGAAAGGAGATGGAGTCGTATAGGGCCCCCACTTGGTGCTGCCCTCCCCGCTTGCCCTTTGTTTAAACTTCGCTTATCCAAACCGTACCTCTGGGATCATACGTTCGCCTCTCTCCTAAGGGCAGCTAAGTGGTCGGCTAGCTTAGGACTGCCTTCCAAACTGAAGTCGTTCACAACCCAGAGGCCTCCAGCGCTACATTAGCCACAAGCTTTGAGGGACACCGGGAAGGAAGTGGGGGAGCGTTGGCCACTGTGGCTAAGTGTCTCTTCTATGTGGAGGACTCAGATATGGTCCAGGCAGCACCCATCAGTTCAGAAAGGCTCTAATAGTACCTGCTTCCTGGGGTTCCCTTTCAGATCCTCAAATCAAAAGATTCCCGCTTCCCTAACATCTGTCATCTTCTGCGGAGTCTTTTGGAAATACAGACCCTGGGATCCAGTGTCTTAGGTGTCAGGCCCGCTGGTGCCAGGTGCCTTGGACTCTGCAAATTCTCGTCAACTTCTAGCCTCCATACCCCACCCTCAGACCATGGGGGCCTTCTCTTCGCCAACAACTCTGCTTAGCTCAGAGGCCTGGGGTCAGCGGCTTGACAACTGCTAAATGCATTTCGTTAGATGCAATTTGCTTGCAATTTGTCAACCCGGCTGGGAAACGCTCTCCAGACGCCTGGCAGACGCCTCGGCTCTACCTGGTTCCTGGATCCTGTTTAGAAACGAATCCCAACTTGGGCCTCGGTGTAGACCCAGAACTCACCCCCAGATGTTGCCAACCTCGGGAGGCAAGTTTTTTTTTTTTTTTTCAAAACAAACGAATTTCTTTCCTTGTTTTCTGATAAAGGAGCAGACGCCACACGGGAGGCCCTTTTGAATACAAGACCTTTCCCCTCACCTCTGGGGTAAGCTCGAGTTCAAGCCACGGAACGATTCAATGCCCAGCGTCCAGACAGGCCCAGAGCTCTGTCTACGCCAATCCACAGCGGATCCCCGAGTATGCGTCCGCCTCGTTCTTATTGAAATCCCACTGAAAGGATTCTGGCTCCGACGTGGGCAGGGGAAGACTTACACACCCTGCTCTCTCCCCCACCTGCACCCTCGCCACACAGGATAAAGGGCCGCGGGGCGCTTCAAGCGGGGGGCACAAGCAGGAGCGAGCCGGGTTAAGCCGCGCAAAGCCGGTGCACGGGACCAGCCGGCAGGTGCAGCCAGCGCCCGGCAGCCCGGCTTGGGCGCAAAGGCCGCCGCGACCCGGGGGTGGGGAACCGCCGAGACAAAGGCTCCAGCTCTAGGGTGGGAGGGGGGCGCGTCGCAAAGCTCTGGAAAGCTGGGTTTTGAGGCCCAGGGATCTATTTAAAAAAAACGGAAGGCAGGAGCCCCCAGACCAGCCTTTGGGTTTCCGGATGACCTGGGTTTGAGCCACTAGTAGGACCGTGCGATCCGGGTGTTGGGAAGGCCGAGCCTGGGATCCGGAGGCTCGGGACAGCGCGGGCGGAGTGCAGGAACTTACCGACAGCAGCGCGGTGGGCGGCGCCCTCGGGCGGCCACGGTCAGGGCTCAGCAGGAAGGGAGCGGTGTGTGCGGCGAGGCTAGTCGGCCCGCGGTAGCCAGCGCGACGGAGGTGGTCAACAGCGGGACCCCGGCGCGGCGCCGAACGAAAGCTCGATGCGCAGGCTGCCGCTTTTGTCCGCCTGATGCGCCCCAAGACCAGCTATGGTTGAAGTGATCGCAGGCCAGAGAGACCTGAGCAGTGGACTACCGCCCGGCTGGCCTGGCCACCTCTCTTGGTTCTGGCTGCCTCTCGGTTCCCGGCCTCAGCGCGGCAGCTTTTTATTTGGACATCACTGGGGGGGGGGGCGCTGCAGCGCTGCAGGGGGGCAGGAGGGTGCCCGGGCTCTGAGCCCTGTCTGCCGGGTCCAGCCGCCGCCGGGCTGGCCAGGCTGGGTCCACTAGTCAGTCGAGGCGCGCACACCCTGCAGGCCACTCCCGCCTTCTTAGGGCCACGCAAGCACTTCTGCTCTCAGGGATGTAATCTCAGAAAGCCTAGGATGTCTCTCTTTGGAGAGTCTCCCTCACAAACAAGTACACAGACATGTGCCCCTCCTTCCACACACATCGTGCACGTGCTGTCGCTGGGGAGATGTCCTCTGACAGGCGCTTTCTGGCACACAAACACCCGTGTGCACACACATGTATAAGATACACACACACAGTCACACAACCCTCTTACTTCCTGCACATTTAGCTAAGTGCAGATGTATTCCCACTTCAGACACCCATTCCCAACTCAAGCATTTTAGGAATAGAGTTTCTGGTGTATCCTAGGCCCGTTATTAGCAAACCCTTTGCATCAGAGAATGCCACAAGGTAAGCAAGAGGCTTGTACTTAACAAGGGTAGAGGAAGGCACCCTGGTGCAGTCTGCGCCCTAAGGAGCTAGGTAGCAATGAGAATCCATTCCTTGTGGTGCCTTAAGCCCCTCTGAGAAATCCAAAGAACTCCCATAGACTTATTTTGTTTGGAAAGACTGCATCCTTCCTGGTGTGCCCCGTGCGCAGGCAGTGCGTCTTCTCCTCCTCCCCCATACTCATGCCCCCAGCTGTTTTAGGTCTTTCTGAATCTGTGGCATTGTGTGTGCACCCTCTGCATGCAGTTCGGTTTATGTGTCCAGTGGGCTATGTGTTCACAATGGGGAGATCACAGGAGTGTTTGCAAAAGCGAAAAACTCCCTAAGCACTTGTATTGGGTAGTTGGTCACAGCCTGACTTGTTATCAGTGTGTGACCCCACAGATGCATGTAAGAGAGTGTCTGTGGAACTGGGTGTATGTCTGTGTCCAGATATCTCCGAGACAGACAATCATCTTCAAGAGACATGTGATAGGCAGAGAGTATCTCTAAGTATGTCTTAATCAGTGTGTTTACCTTTGTGCATTTGTGTTTGTGTATGCGTCTTTAATAGTCTGGCTATCCGTGCATGTATAGATTTCAACTTGTATTTAGGTGTGGTGTGGTGTGTGTGTGTGTGTGTGTGTGTGTGTGTGTAAGAGAGAAGGAGAGTTACAATGTGTCTGGGTACTCACTGACAATTCTGTTAATTAATGAGGGGTGTGTATATCTGAAGCCATACATTTGTGTGTATGTGTGCGTGCGTGCGTGTGTGTGTGTGTGTGTGTGTGTGTGTGTGTTTAAAGGCAAGGTTTCGCTATGTCAACAGTGGGGATGGAACTCACAGTGATGTATCTGCCTCCGATGCCTGAGAGCTGGGATTAAAGGTGTGTCCCACCACTCAGGGTTAGTATGTCTTAATGGCAGGTGATGACCGATCGTCTAACTTTGAGCTGAAGTCCAAGTATGTCTGCATATCGGTTGCTTCAGGTGGGGCTGATGTGCTGGGCATGGTGTTTGTGGCCATGTCTGAGGGGTGGGCACCTGTGTCTGTCACTCCATCCTGGATCTGTGTTTCTGTAATCAAGGCTACTCTATGTCTGGTAAGGGAGGAGTGTGGAGACAGTATGTGTATCCTCCAGGCTCCCTGGCCTCCTGCACCTTCCCTAACCAGCAGGGCAGGCAGCCAGTGGAGCCCCGGGGTGCCATTTACTCTGGCACTTTCTGTCTGTCTGTGGGAGGGGGAGATGAGCCGATAAGGCTTATCTGCCATTACCAGGGCCGTGCTGAATAACCGTTCTAATGAGGTGGCCTCACTGGGACCACCAGCTCCCAGGCCCCTTTCCTATTGGGTAGGGGCATGGCCAGCCAGACCTGGAGCACAGAGCCAACCCCCTAGAGACCTAGTAACCTCTGCATCCTAGAGACTATTATTATTATTATTATTATTATTATTATTATTATTATTATTATTATTATTATTATTAGGTCTGCCTTGTTTCTTAGAGGAAGGTCCTAGTCACTGCAGCCGGGAATCTTGTTCTCTTTTCCATGGGCTGGCCTGGGCTGGTTAGACGGACAAAAGCCCCTCAGTCTGGCCTCTGAGGCACGCAGTATGAGGCCCAGAACTTGGGATGGAGGTGATTGGAACCCAATGACAGAAAGATCCATAGAGAAAGGGACAAGCTGCAAGGACTGCGGGGACAGATTTTTTTTTTTTTAAAATGCAGTCACGCTAAGTGACAGAGGCACTATCAGGGTGGTCCTAGGGACTGGAGTACTCAGGCCGAAATAAGACAACAAGTGGCAAAATAAATCAGAGAGGTGGCAATAAAGGCGAAGAAAGTATCAACCAGAGAGGGAGCGAGACAGACAGGGAGACAGAATCAAGACGCGCGAATGAAGAGAGTCGACGGAAACGTAAGAGGAGAGCGAGAGAAGAAAGGCCCAGAGAGGCATGGCGGGGGCGGGGGGGGGGGCAGGGCTGGGGAAGGACAGACCAAAGATGGAGAGACTGAGTTGGCCAGGCCGGCCAAAGAGAGGCCAAGGCCTTGGAGACCCGGGAAGGCATGAGCTGAGGCTCGGACCCCGGGCGGGGCACCGATCACGGGGCGATGGCGATGGGCAGGGGGGTCTGAGTGGGGCTGAGCCGCTGTCCGGGGTAATTTTTCATCTCGGCCGGCTAATCTTTGTTCCCGGCGAAGATAATGAATAGCCAATCGTTATCTGCCCGGCTCCCGGAGGCTGCCCGAGAATGGGGTTGTACAGGGCTGGGAATTGTTTCCAAAGTGCTGCGGAATAAATGGTGTTTCTTATCTCTGCCTTCCAGATTATCGCAGCCCTTTCAGAGCGCGCACAACAAATGCGCCCGCCATCGAATGCAGCATTTACCACCGCAGATCCGCGCGCCGATGGGCAGGCAGATAGCGTCCGCGGGGGGCTCGTCGGGAGGCGAGTGTGCGCCCCGGCTCTGCCTGGTGTGTTTGGAGGAACACGTGGGTATGCCAGCGAGTGGACCCTGAGCGAGCACGGATGTGAGTGTACCAGCAAGTGTGCTTCGACAAAGTGCACGTGTGCGAGTCCCTGAGCACACGCGTGGTGAGTGATCGTGGCGAGTGCCAGGAAGTGGCCGCCTAGACGCACGCGGGAAGCGGTGCTGCACGTGACCGCATGGGGAAGCATGCAGTGGGTGTGCTAGCCGCGTGCACAAGCGAATGTATTGTGATGACCTACAGGTACCTGGCCCTGGAGGATGCTGTTTAGGGGAGCGGAACAGAGGGGTTTGCAGCCACTCCTCAATGTTACGTGCAGCACGTGCAGGCCGCACTCCACAAGGTGTGTTTCCGAAGCTGCGCGATGGGCGCAGTAGCTGGCGTTTGAGCCCGTGGCACAGGCTTTTGGAACCGGCACGGATCTGTGGGACAATGTGTACCCAGGGCGACCAGGTATACAGAGAGATGCGCAAAGCAAAGGGTCATTTTCGAGCCTTGCTTGAGCCTGTGTTGTGCGGACTCTGGGCTGGACGTTGACTGTGAGGAAGACCGCGCAGGTATGCCGGGTCTGGGGAATGCTGGAGAGTGACACCGGGCGAGTGGCTGTTTGGGGAGTTTGAGAACGCCCATGGGTCCCGGTCCTGGCCCTGGGACCCCTCCGCCAAGGCCTTACAGCTGGAGCGACAGAGCCCAGCCCGCCGCCCGAGGTCCCGGCCGTGAGTGACACGCGCCGCCACAAAGGCTGTATTTTTCCAGGCCCGCGCCCCGCCCGCGCGCGATGGTCCCCATGGCGACGCAGATAGCGCGCGGCCATTTTCCTATCTCCCCGGAGTCTATTATACAGCGGGATTAGCTCATCTCCAGGCAGGTCAAACCCAAAGTCACACAACCTGCGGCGTGAGCTCCGCCTCCGGCCGCTCCTCCCGCAACCGGAGCGGGCGACCCCCGCGGCAGGGCCGGTACGCGGGAGCAGAGCGCCACCTGGCGGACGCAAGTTCCCGGCGCGCTGCATGAGAGACCGCAAATGCCCCAGGCTGTGGCTTTGTGTGGTCGCTTGGGCGACCCCTAGGGAAAAGCTGGCACACAGTAGGTACCCCCAAACTATTTGCTGGAAGGATGGAAAAGCAGAAAAGTTGACAATGGCTGACTGCCAAAGGCCACCCGCATGTTGGCAACAAAAGCCCATCCCACTAAATGAAGAATAAAAGCCGATCTTCTTTGCAACCCTGGCAGCATCCTTGCTGACTCCAGACTCGGTTTTCTCCTCCTTCCTCCAGGGACAACAGCCTTTGGATTCTCTGGACAGGAGCCCTCTATCCCCATGTCTGCTGGTTTCTCCACCCAGAGTAGTCGGCCTGTGGTCAAATGTCACCTATCAGACAGCAGTTGCTCCTCTCCCCTACCCCTCCTCTGCTTGTTGGTCAGTTCCCTAGTATCTAGTAAATTCTCTAATAACATTTGCTTGTTCAGGGTTCTGTGATGTTCCGGACAAGGGCGAAGCGGCGGAATTCTGACAACTGATTCGGATTATCACAACATTAGGAACTGGCTGAGGACCAGAAGGGTAAGCCCAATGGGCCAGGCTGCACAGCTTTCTTTGCATCACTGAACCTAGGATACTAGGTGTGAGTTAGGAGTTACTCAGCAGCCACCCCGGCCCCAGAGCCTGACCCCACCCACCTACTCCATCTGAATGGCAGCTCCAGTGTCCCTCACTTCTCTGCACCTGCTGTGAAGGTGAACTCATCCCATCTTGCTCTGCTAGAGCAGGTCCTGAGTGGTGGTGGTGGCAGCGGCAGCGGTGTGGTGGGGTGGTAGCCGTGACGGTGGTGGTGGCAGCGGTGTGGTGGCGGTGGTAGCTGCGGTGGTGGCGGTGGCGGCGGCAGCGGCAGTGGCACCTGAACCACAGGAGACCACTCTCTCCATTTAGGTTAACTAGGCACTGCATTCCTGGCTTTGGTGATCCAGCTGCTGCTGTGGAACTCAGCAGGCTTCATCCTGGGGACTGGGAGTGTTGGGAGGGGCGTGGCCAGGAGTGCTGGGAGTTACAGGTACCAGCAGTTCCCTCAGAGCTATCCTGGAAGAGGAGCTGAGTGGGGACCCTTCCACACCATCCACACCCCACCCCCACCTCGCACACACCCTCTCAGCTGGGCTCCCGCTCCGAGCCTCTGGTTCTGCCTCCACAGCCCTCCCTCCAGGATCACGGACTGTTGGTGTGGTGTGCGAGCTTGCCTTTAGAAAGCATTTTGTGAGCCTGGCTTGTCAAGTTGGCAGACAAAGTCTCTGGCAAGTGCCATGCCCAATGTCTGCCAGCACCCTGGAGTGGGAGATTACATGTAAAGAATCTCATGTCTTGTTTTTTGTGAAACACTTCAAGACTGGCCACTTGCACCTGAGTTCTTGCATGGGGATGGAGTTCTGCAGAATCCCCTCTGAGCACCTGGTGCCCACCCATTCCCATTCCCTGGGTCAGGGCCTGTTTCCCACGAGCCACTGACTACTAGTGCTTGTGGTAATTCTGCCTTTCCTATCAGCACTGGGGCCTTCTGTCTTGTTTCTCCCTGTAGGACCACTAAACCACTTAGCCATGTCTTAATCAGTGAATTAACACAAGCAACATTAAGAGGAGGCACACGGCCACCCTATAAAGGTCTCTGGCTCTGCCTATTGACCTTCACCCAACCTACCAAAACAGTGAAGCAGCCAGACCTGACTCAGCATGCAGATCAATAAATCATCAGGTTATGGTAAATATTGGGAGGGGATATGTTTTCTAATATCTAGACCTTCCTCCAAATAGTGGGAGCCGTGGAACAAAAGAAAAGTGGATGCAGCCACCCTTGTAGCAAGCAGTAGAGGTTTGGTAAGGCAGCGGGCACAGCGATAGCCAGGAGGAGGTCTGACGACGAGGTACGAGAACTTGGGGACACAGCGTATAAAGAGGTTGACTCAGCCAACAAGGGGGCTCAGTGTATAAAGGTTTGCCACCAAGCCTGTCCTGAATTCAATCCTTAGAACCCACGTAGTGGAAGGAGAGAGCCAACTTCTGCAAGTTGTCTTCTGGCCTTCCCCCCTCCCCCCAGTAAATAAGTGCAAAAAAGGTGTCACCAAATCAACAGAAACCACAGTGGGAAAATGCACAAGGGTATAGAGAGACAACTCACTAAAATTAATATGATGTCTCTTAAATAAATCAAAACATGCAATTTCCTTAATCTTTTTCCATTAATTCAGCTCCAAATGTATTAACTACGTTGTCTTTTTGTGTTCTCTCTCTCTCTCTCTCTCTCTCTCTCTCTCTCTCTCTCTCTCTCTCTCTCTGTTGTTGTCCTTTTGTGGGGTGTGCTGGGGTGGAACTCAGAACCCTGTGATGACCTCTGAGCCAAGCCAGACTCAGAACTGGGACCATTTTTGAAAGACAAATTGCAGCTCTCTGAGTCAGGATTCACGAGCAGTGGTGACACACGCCTTAATCCCAGCACTCAGGAGGCAGAGGCAGGCGGAGCTCTGATTTCTAGGACAGCCTGGTCTACAGAGTGAGTTTCAGGACAGCCAGGGCTATGTAGAGAGATGCCTCAAAAAAAACAAAAATGAATAAATAAGAACTCTCTGGTCTTACTGGCCCTGGTTGTGACGGGTCCAGGGTCCATTTGTATTGCAGCAGTTGCTCAGCCATTTTTGGGAACAGAATGGACCCGAGGTGGCAGCGTGGGGGCAGAGAAGCGCCTGGAGGATGGTGAGGTGAGGCCAGGGCCCCACCCTGCAGTCTGTCCATCCAGACCTGACCTCTCCTTTCTGCACAGCTGCTCCCCTGCTCCCTGCCGCTGTCTATTCCTGCCTGGATTACCATAGCAACATTCTCTCTGGACGGCACAGTCAGGAACCTCTCCTGCCCTTGCTAGGAGAAGCCCTCCAGCCGCCCGAGCTGTGCTCCTGGCTGGCCTACATGGTGCAGCCCTCTCCCTGGGTGCTGAGTGTTACCTTTCCAGTCCGCTTCTTGCTCAGTTGGGAGAGGAGGGCATAGTGGGGAGCAGGAGGGTCCTAGGACTTGCAGCTTTCGGGTGCCACTGGACAGAACGGTGCCTGGGATTCCCCGGGGCACAGGCAGCCTGAGGCTGGTGATCAGCCAGAGACGAGACCTGGAATGAAAATAAACAAAAATCCAAGGCTCAGTGCAGGGCCAGAGGTCAGCCGTGGGCCAGGTTAGGCCAACTGTGGAATCTGGGATGCAGGACTGGGTGTCACGGGCACACAGGGCTTCCATCTCGGACCCCACATCCACTCGGTGCAGAGCATTGATATCCCCCCAAACTCCCAGCCTGGCCAATTGGAACTTCCTGTAGTAAGATGCATTGACTGACGATAGGGATGTAATTCAGGCCTGGGAGAATCACACCGCAACGAAACTCATCTATTCTCTCAGGATCTGTCCTCTTGGTCAGACAGAGCTTTAGAGTGGTGGTACCTTCTTTGTACCACACAGAAGGCTTCCTGAGAGCAGAGCCACACGGGCACAGAGCTGAGAGACAGAGAGAGACTCGTACTATGTTACCCATTTTGTTTGTTTTGTTTCTTGAGACAGAGTTTTTCTGTGTAGCCCTGGCTGTCCTGGAACTCACTCTGCAGACCAGGCTGGCCTCAAACTCAGAGATCCACCTGCCTCTGCCTCCTGAGTGCTGGGATTAAAAGTGTGCACCACGGTGCCTAAACCCCAGAGCCTGAGCCCATTCGCAGCCTGGCCTTTGCCGTTCCCTAAGACAATTTGGCACCTCTGTGCTTTCCCCTTTCCTTGGTCCGAGGTGAGCTTCTACTTCTTACAACTGAACATGCCCTGACCCCACCGCTGTGGTTGGTCAGAACCAGCTACAGTCTCTGCCTCTGAGAGGGGCAGCCCTCCTCCGACTGACTGCTGGGAGGCTCTTGCCAGTGACCTGGGGTGGTGGCAATGGTGCCGTGAAGGGTCCTGGCCTGAATTATCTGCTCTACTTCTGAGTTCTTAGAAGTCTTGGGAATCCTGAGTGGACTCAAAAAAGCTCAGGCATGCAAGGCCACTGTGTGGTGAGTGTGGAAGCCCACAGCAGTCAGGAGAGGTCTCTAGTGGGTCTTAGTTGTGCCAGCCATGGGCCATTGGCTGGACACAGATACTCCAGGTCAGGTTAGTGACCCCTGTGAGTCCGTTTCTTCATCTATCAAGATTTCTTTCTTTCTTCATTCATTTTCCATCTCCACCGTGAAGAGTATAAAGAGATGGTTGGTGTGTCTGTGTTGCGGGAGGTCCTTCCACTCCTCCAGCCAATAGCCGCTGAGATACCAGCTCATTGGGACGTGGTCTCTCTCTCCCTTTAAAAAAGCGGCCACTTCCCTTCTCCCTCTCTCTTACTTCCTGCTCCGCTTCGGCGGTGACTAGACTCCCTTCCTGATTGCGCAGAGGGCTGTTGTCTGGGACAGTGATCTGTAAGTTTTTTCCCCTTTAAATAAATAACCATTCTATTAATCATAATTCCAAACTGGTGTGGGATTGTTTTTGACTTACGCCTTCGCCTTCATGTCTGAGGTCTAACCTGCAAAACAAAAATCACTTTTTAAAAAATGGAAAAGAGGTTGATAAGATGTCTCAGTGAATAAAGCTACCTACCAGCAAGTGTGACAGCGCGAGTTTGATTCCCAGGACCCAGTGGAGGAAGAAGGAGCCTCTGCTCTCAAGTTGTCCTCTGACCTCTGTGTGTGTGTGTTGTGTACAAGAACATACCACGCACACACACACACTACACATGTACATGCACGCACACATGCACATACAGGCATTATAAATGTGTGTGGAACATACCACACATACAACACACACACACTACACACGTACAGGCACGCATACACATACAGGCATTATAATTGTTTGTGGGCAGAGTAGATGGTAGTAGGCAAGTGAGGGCCGGAAGTGGTTGGTATATGTCTTGTATGTGTGTGAATTGTCTAAAGACAACTTTAATAAAGTATATACAAAAATCTTTTCATTTGAAAAGCTGTGTGCTGTTCCATTACAGTTTCTCATTTTTATAGAGTTTCTTCCAGCCTTTGTTCAGGGCATAAATACACCATTCAATTTGCTAAATTGCTTTCCTGTCATTAGACATTAAGGTTTTTATTTTAATTATTAAAAATGTTCCAGTAAACATGAGCCAAATTTCCAAAGCTCAAAAATGTAAAAAGTAAGCTTAACAATCTGTTAGGAATTTAAGTTGGCTGTGGTGGCACACATCTTCAGTCCCAGCACTTGGGGGAGAGGCAGGCGGGTCTCTGAGTTCCAGTCCAGCCTGGTCTACATAGGGGGTTCCAAGTCTCATCTAGGACTGCGTGGTAAGATCCTGTCTCAAGAAAGGAGAGAAGAGGGGAGGGGAG